CACTCTTTCAAACACAGACACACACAGACACACAGACACACACACACACACACACACACACACACACACACACACACACACACACACACACACACACACACACACACACACACACACACACACACACACACACACAAGCACACCTTACATAAGCTTTACTATAATTCCGTCCACAGAGCACCAACTGGAGCTGGTGCTGACGGCGCTAATTAAAAAGTGTCTGATAGGAGTCGGGCAGCAAACATTCGTATTCAAAGGCTTTCAACAAAATCTCTCAGTAGTTTAATTAAAGCCCACAAAGCTCTGATGGCTATCTGTCAATCCTGCCAATGTCAGCTGGGGCGACTCTGAATGGGACTCGTGGCTGAGTCAGTGTGTGTGTGTGTGTGTGTGTGTGTGTGTGTGTGTGTGTGTGTGTGTGTGTGTGTGTGTGTGTGTGTGTCAGGGAGAGTGTTTCAAAGAGATAACAGCCTCTGATTAAGGCTGAAGAATTAATTGAACTTGTTAAAACATTCCAATATGAACTAAAAAAAAATCATTCGGAATAAAGAAAATGATGGTCCTGGTGCAGAACGGTATACAAAAGACTTCATTAAAAAAAACACTGTGATCATTTTATTACATTTTTCCATGATAATAATGGTACGGAAATGATCCCCCCCCCCAATCTTATAACGCAAATGATATCGCAATTGCAATATGAGTAATACTAATCTCATTTAGTTATTGGAACCCAATCGTGCAGCCCTACCTCTGATGATCCCTCGGAATTCAGAACATTGAGGAAGACACCATCATTGAACATTTTATTCTAGCATTAAAAGAAAGACAAATACTCAAATGTAATGTTTCCAACTCAGAAAGAGTAGTTACAGACATAATTCAGCTTTAATATTATGTGTCTATGACGTCTCTGTCCTCTAACAAAAGTTCAAATGACTTTCAGCTCCATGGACAACAAATGAAAAACACTTCTGATTAGCTTAAATGTGTCTGTCACCACTAAGGGCGGGCTCTCTTTGCTAACTGACAGCCACACACACACACACACACACACACACACACACACACACACACACACACACACACACACACACACACACACACACACACACACACACACACACACACACACACACACACACACCAGTGGGGGCTGTAGGGAAACAATGCACTGAAGGAAACTGTGACAGAGGACAACAAAGGGAGAGGAGGGGATGGTATGGAAGAAGAGATAGAAAAGCGTACAGAAATAAAACAGGACAGCAATGCAAAAAGTAGAAGCAGAAAATAGGAGAACAAAAACAGTGAGGGTGAGGATAGATGAAAATGAAATTAAATGTTGTAAATATTCCAAGGGATAGAGTTGGAAATGAGCCTATAGTCAATACACCAGATCACGCTGTGACATCAGGGCTGAAAAGACAGAATGACTCATTTTGCAGCCACTCTCTGCCCTAATTGCGAAACATATGGCGTTCTCTCATGTTTTGGAATAATGGCGTACATAAAGACGACAAAAATACCCTGAATGCTTCACTTTCATTTCTCCTTATAATGTATCCACAGCATGAGGAGGACAAAACGGGCGCACCTTTTTAAAATTCTCCTTCCCTCTGTAAGTCATTTCACGCTGTAATGACAATAATGGTGATCATTATCACAATCAGAGCCAATCATTGGTCTTTTCAGGGTGAAAATTACCCCTCAGTCACATGCCCGTCTCCAGGGACGGCCCCTAAATGCCCTTATTATCATCATCAAGGGCACTCGACGTGTACGAGTCTGTGTGTGTCTCTATGTGACTAACCCCCTGACCCCCTACCATACTCTCCTCTCAGCCTCTCAAAGGAGTCGGTCTGTACCCACGGGGACAAAAGAGCCGGAGTGAGCCCTCCGCAGGGAGCGGCAGCAGCCAGTTTCCTCCGTGTGACGGGCTTTTCTGTGCAGCCGGAGGACATTGTGTGTCAGTGTGGGGCCCAGCTGGCCTATCTGCTAAGACCAGCTCACAATGAGCCCGCAGTCAATGGACTGGAAACCCTTGCTGATGTATCTGGGACAACCAGAGCTGGTGTGTGTGTGTGTGTGTGTGTGTGTGTGTGTGTGTGTGTGTGTGTGTGTGTGTGTGTGTGTGTGTGTGTGTGTGTGTGTGTGTGTGTGTGTGTGTGTGTGTGTGTGTGTGTGTGTGTGTCACTATGAAAGTGTGCGCCAGTGTGTGAATCCAATGGCCCTGTCTCTTGGGGCAGTCTTCCAAGTAGGAGATGGGATGGGAAAGTTATTTTTCCTAAGACGGTGTTATTTCCTAAGCTAATGTTTTGAGAAATGGGATCAATTACAGTAAGTGTCTCAAGTGTATTAAGCATTTGGTTTATTATCCTTGCATGTATCTATTCCTCAGCAGCCAGGCCACAGCAGTGAGAGGATACTGAATGCTAATTTTTCAGTGTGCAGATCGTCATTTTGTGCCATGTTTATGGCTTTATGTCTTGTCACTAAGGTCATATTTCTTCTGATTTGTTTTTCTAATATCATAATTTAAATTGACTGGTTCTACTTGGAAAATCAGCTTTTTAAATACTGTTAAATTCTGTCTGTTGTCATGCTTTCTGCCTATAGCTCAATAGTTGCTATTTGTTGTTGTTTTGTGAGATTTTTCTCTCAAATAAAAAAGATAAAATTGTTTTGAAATGTATTAGACCCAGCTTCCAGCTGGCCTACAAACAATATGCAACAGACTTTATAAAAAAGTCCTTGTTTGGTACAGAACCTGTAAAGCAACTGATAATTTCCTCTAGAATTGCGAAATATATTACATATTTAAGGAGTCTATGTCTATTTGATCCAGTGTGAATTGAAATGCAAAGCTATGCTTCTCTCGTATACGTAACTATGTTCAACATTCTGACATCGTACGGCTTGAATTATGTCCCTCGTTATTTTCCAATGGTCATAACACAGAGTTATAGCTCATTTACAGCATGTGTGTGTGAATGAGATTTTGCGTGTATGAGTGTGTGCCTGTGTCAATCGTGTGATGTTGATGTGGCTCATGCCCTCTATCAGCCGGGGTTCACCATGTAACTGTGACCTGAGATCAATATGCAATCTAAACACCCCTGGGGCTCGTCTGCCTTGGATATACAGTACAGTGGATAGGCAGTCTCTCCCACCCCCCCCCCCCCTTTATATAACTGCCCTCAGAGGCTGTTGTTGTGACCAATTGTGGCGTGAGTTGAGGGAACCTAAAAAAAGCATCACAATCGCACCATGACTTTATGGGGTAACGACTGGGGGCTATTTCCAGTGGCCTACAAACTGGAAATCTTTAGTTGTCCTGTTATGACTTTTAGAGGTGTTTCCCCCATAGATAATACGTGTGTCATGCAAGCAAATAGAGCAGCACTACTTACATGTTGGTGTTAGCGGTGGAGGTGAGCCACTCTCCGGCCAGACCGATGATATCGAGACCACTGGAAAGCTGGTTGAAGAATCGAGGGTGACCTAAATATTGAAAAAATATCTAAATGTCTTTCCTATCAACAGGCCTTCATGATCCTTTATATTAAGAAAGACAGCAACTGATTTATCTGCTTTGTCTGAGTAAAGCGTTAAGAGAGTTAGGCTGCATTTTTGTATTTGACATTTTTATCTTTATTTATAATTTTGCTTTTTATCTGCAATTTCCTTTGCTGTTGTTGCTACACTGTAAATGTCCCTACTGTGTGAACATTAAAGGATTTTTGATACTGATGAAACAGTATCCTTCAGGCTAAAACCTATTTTGGAAATATATAAATAACAATGAAGAAGCATAAAAAAAACAGTTTTTCATTTGAATGTTCATCCATGAAACCAAAATGATCTGACAAAGCACTGTTCAGTATTTATAATTACATTGGTAACAAGGCTATATGACAGCCATTTAGACTCTAACATGCTTGCACACACAGTCTCCGTCAATCGGCCCAGAGCTGAAATGCAGTCATGGATATAAGCACCTTGTGGAGGTGTATGGCTTACATAATAACACAAGTGAGTCACATACTCTGAATAAAAATACAAAATGTGAAATGTAAATCAGTGCTGCTTAATAGCAAGAGGAGAGAAAGATCTGCTTTATATTTCAGTACCGGGGACAGCTCCTCCTGTTCATGAAATCGAGCACAAAAAAAAAGCAGCGTGTCTCCGATTGAAAAGTGGTGTTGAGTTGTAGACACAGTAGACCCTGCCCGTGATATATTAAACCCGGGGGACAGTTTGAGCGCTGTCGTTTTTAACAGCTTGAAACAGCCCGTGTTAGGATCCCCTCAGGCGACACTTGCTTTAATAAGTCAAGGGGGAGAAAAAAGGAGGATGTCAACCGAACGACCAGGGGGACAATAAATAAGGCAGTCATTGTAAAGGGCTGTACATTATCTGCCAAACAGCTTGTGTTGAATTCACCAGTTTACATGAAAGTGATCAAATGGACACACAAGGTACTGTTCATCATAAAATTCATGTGAAATTCTAATAATATAGCCTATTATGCTTTGTGTAATGACGTATATGACTTTATCTTGGTCTGCAGATCAAAATACTATTCTTTAAATTGACAGAAGGTTAATTGCTTTTGCCTCCACTCATGTCCTTTTGCTATTTAAACTAACATATGGCACCTCATGAATGACTAATTCTCTTTCAACCTTGAAGGTGCCTCGGCTAGCCTACCTGTCCGGACGCCATATTTGAGCGTGTCTCTGCAGTCCACCAGGATCTGCTCCAGGGATTCGGGCTGGTCGGACAGCTCCAGGTTGAAGCCCTCCATGCCCTCCAGGAGCTGGTGAGGGTGGTGGAAGTCCAGCACCTTGGTGGAGCGGTCGAAAGTCTTCTTGATGTAGTTGGTGAGGATGTCCACCAACTCCAACAAAAATTGTATTGTAGCCTCCTCTCCATTTTTGGCTGGCAGTAAGTCTGAGAGGAGAGGAGAAAGACAGTCATTTAGCTTGGGAGATCATTTTAGCTTAATGTTGGGTTTATTTTTCAAGACCCCCCTATTCTCAAGATAAATGTTGACCTGAGCATGTTAATGGCTGCCATATCATTGAATAACTTTAACAAAGATTAGGACTCATATACATTTTTTTAAAGTCAAAATTTGAACTGCATTTGTCTATTATACATTTTATTTTTTTAATGGTGTTTCTGTAACTGTTTCAGATTTTACTGAGTTGACATGCTTGGTTTTAATATGCCTCTAAATGTAGTCGTCGTCCTCTACTAGAGAGTTTCATATAATGCTAGTGCTACCAATAACGCAGCAAAAAGATAAAAGCCACCAAAAGCATGCTGGGAGGTCTTGAACAGAGTAACGTTGACAGCGTCGCGAATAGCAGCATTTGAAGCTTATGAGGCTATAGCAATAGCTTATTTTTTGTGAATATTTAGCCGAAAAAAGTTGTCACCTCTGGCGAAGAGGTTGGAGAAGTCGGTCTCGGTGAGGCGGAAGCGAGCGTCCCGGTCACTGTTGTCGCAGGAGAGCAGGTTCTTCTGCCCCGCGAGCCTCCCCTTCTCATCCAGGCTGTTGTTCTTCTGCAGGAACCCTAGGGTGTTACATGGCGGAGAGCAGGAGTTATCACCAAACACCTCCATCCCAAACACGAGGGAAAAGATAATAATAATTTACGAAAAAAATATCAAAGAAATAATAATAATTGTTAAAAAAAATTCTAGTGGCCTATAGTATAAACAAGTACGTGGTCAGCTCCTGAAAAAAATATGTGTTGTCTTGATCAAGTCTTCCATAACAAATGCTTTTCTGGTGAAGGCCCAACATATATGGCCAACACACACAGGAAAGAGGGACCACCTCGTATGGTGTCCGCCCCACCCATGTGACATCACAAACACCTCCCAGTGAGGGAGCACCCAGTCCATAGACTGATGTGGAAGAGGGGGGGGGGGGGGGGGCAGGTCCGGAGAGCCCGTGGCGATGACCCTTATACAGCTAATCAATGCACACCAAAGAGGGGTTAATGACGGATGCATGCATAGCGTATAAAATATTGTCTCATATTTTTATATGGAAAAATGTTAAATCCATATATATTAATATGTGAGACCATCTTACTGCCACCATAAATACATATTTCTATTTAATGTTCACTCCAGTCCATTCAAATGTAATTTAGGCCAATCAAAATCTATTGGTAATTTTCTCATTTGCAGAAATGGCAATATCAAACGTATTCGATTCTCTGGTCTTAATTGATTTCCTGCCATAAGAAACAGAACATAATATCTTGAATTGACCACATCTATACTTGACATTAATTCCTCATCGCATTGCTGCAACAAAAAACACCAGAATACATTTTCATTTTTGAGTCACTGAAAGAACCAATTCCTCCAAATGCTGGAATAATAAACACGCCTTCCTTGCAGCATCTCTTTTAAAAAGGCCATCAGTTAAATTGGCAGAAAGACATTTTTGTATTCTTTGTTGCAAAGAACTGCCTGCCTGCGAAATGAAAATAGTTCTCTTTTTTTATAGGTTATTGTTTGGGTTGCTCAGGGCTTAATAACCTGGGCCTGTCTCGAAGAATTTTCTCTTGGTGGCGAAATGGAAAAGACATGGGGGGGCGTTCAGAAGCGGTCAGGGGGTTTGCACCGGGGCTCTTATCATCAGACCTACAGGCTAATGTCCACTGACCTTTGGAAGATGGAAACGCACTGTGACAGTCGTGTATGTGGCTACTCTAACAGCCTTTATTGTGGCCTGTTCCAGGCCTCTAAGAGATTTTTTTTTTTTTTTTTAAAAAGCCACCCTATTTTGACTCTTTTAAATGAACAGAGGCAAAAATGCACATCAATGCAATACTGCAAAATTGATAATCGCACATTCATAGGCCAAAAAGACTCCAAAATTGCATTTTTTTTCAAAATGATATGAAAAGAGTTGATGTGGAACGTTTTGTGTGCCAAATAACTTACCACAAATCTTCATCCCCAGTTTCCGTGTGCATCCGTGCATCCACGCATATTCGTTGGCTAAAACAGAATGTCAACGTTTGAGTTTGTGCACTGCAGGCCGCTGAGAAAGCGTGGATGGTGCGGATGGTGCGGATGATGGATATAAAGCTGGTGGAGCACAGTGAGCAGAGTGGAAGCGTGATGCGCACGGCTCCTGACCGGGTGTGTGACTCTGAACACTTGTGTTGGTTTTTTCAAGCGTTAAAGAGTATTTTTTCTCATTGTTTGGCTGAGAAGGTATCCACTTTTGTATTTACCACAACCCATGCTAATTATAAAGGGATGAGTCTTATAACATTTCCGATTTAAGTTCAATCAATAGGCACCGGACGCACGGCACATCCGCGCCGGCTCACACACCCAGCCAAGGGGCGGACTGGAATTAACGCCCGTGAAATGAGCTCACGGAGGAGGGCAGGAATTAATTGAGTGAAACACAGTATGTGACGGGAGCGAGCTGGTAATGTCTGTGGCCGGAGAGTCTATAACTGGCTTGATGCAGAAACTTATAATACAGTGCGCGTCATGCATACACACCCACAACCGATGCGTGGTTGGACATGCGTGAGCAGACATGGAGCAGAAGCCAAGGGGAATAAAATGCACAGCGCGCGGCGGGGAATACACCTGATGGAAAACTTTCACAACAAAAACAAGTATTTAAATTCACTGAAGCAACTTCACTGTGAGAGAAAGTACAGCTCGAGGTGCTGAGGCCAAGGCACCAACAGATAAGCAGACATGCGCGCGCACAGACACGCGCGCAGACACTACTAGCCGGAAGGCGTGAGATGGAGCGTGGAAAAGAGATAATGGCAACATCCAGCAGCAGTATACGACAGACAATACAAACATCTTTTTTTAAAGGAACGAATTCACACTTGCAATACATTTTAGATCTTTTTTGTAATGTGTTTATTGATAAAATGTTTAAAAACGACATCTTATTCGATAAATAGAGAAAATATGGATTTGAATGCTCCCCAGGAAATGCACCTAGCTTATTTCCTTTTACATTTAGCCAAAGACAAAAAAACTGTAATTATCTCCCAGCGTTGCAATGCAGATGGCTGCTCAAGTGCACTATGGGGTCGATTTGTTTGCATGCGACAACGGCTTAAAATGGCTAATTAACCCATGGGTTAATGTAAGTCTAATGTATCTGAATAGGTCCAGCCACTTAAAAAAAAGGGGGAAAAAAGAATAGCATTTCTCCAAGAGCAATTCATATATGCAGCCTTAAGGGCCTAAAACATCTTGTGAAACGAGATAAGATTTACCATGATAACATCAATCCAAAATAAAAATCGTTTGCTTTTTTGAAGAATCCTACAAAATAAACTGGGAATAAATACATAATAAAAAAACAGGAAACGAAGGCGTCAATTCAAGAAAGGGGAGGATTGTTAGGAATATATTCGTTTGGAAAATGCATTTATTTATTTTTTAATGTTTGGACTAAATGCTCTTGGATCATTATAAATAGCCTACCAAAGCTTTAATAGAGCATTATTTCCATCGCCAGGCAGGGCTCGGCGCGCACCGCTGCTCCGCCAGACAGAGACAGGCAGCTGATGGCTCTGTTTTTAACCGGAATGATTAACGACGGAGCCCACACAGCAAATGGCCAGGGCGAGACTCGCTTTTATCAGACAGAGAAGGAGGGGAGGAAGGGGCAGGGAGGCAGAAAGAAAGAGAGAGAGAGGAGTGTGTGTGGGGAGAGGGGGGTTCGCTTTAAGCCTTCGTCTTGGCACTACATCGCACTGTATGAGTGTCTTTGAGCAAGGCACCGAGTCCCCTGTCGTTTCGGAGAGGGACAGCCTTAACGATAGTGTGCTCCCGGGGATCGATACGAGATCATGGTGTTATAAGCAGAGAAAGGACCTTACTTGTGGACGGTGGTATTAAATTGGCGGAGTTGGGGTCCTGCTCCCCGCCGGTGGCTCTCGGTTCAGACGATGCCATCAGTCCTCTGTTATCTCCAGCTGGGAAATAATTCAACTGCAAACAAAACGGTCCAAGGTTAGGAGCAGTTCACACCTAACATATAAATTATTTATCTGAATAACTACAGTGTATTTTATTTGTAGACCAGGATTAAACCAGATAAATGCGATTAATCCCCAAATGACAACTGGTTCGGGTCGCGCAATTTGGAGAGAAATTGCGCACTACGCGCAGCAATACGCACGTCTGGATAAATCGTTTCGGTGATATAACACAATGCCTTAGTGGGTTTATTCATTTTGGGTTTTTTCATGCTATGGATTACATTCGAATGGACATTAAATACTCATTCCGTTTCATACATTAATAACATTTTAAAGATAACATCCAAAAGATATCAGAAGATAGGTTGTAATAGCTCGTAGAAGCAAAGTCATATTTCTCCATTAGATATCAGTGGGGTATCAGACCGTTATGATGCATACCTTGCCATATGACATATTGGGGACAATTTGACGAATGGATGCCATGATAGATTGACGAAGTTCACAGACTGATTTATCAAGCAAATATTGATAGGATGCAACTATTAATAACCCACGTCATTTAGGCTACCTATTGACTGAGCGATCGACATTTCAATTAAGTTGCGCTTTGAACAAGCGCATCCCATGCCATCATCACTCAACTAACTAATTCCTTCTGCCACTCATCTGGCACGGCGAATAATAACATATTTTTCTTTTGTTGGTATGTTTCTAACCCCTAAAACTACGATAAAAAAACACCTGTGTGAATTATTTTTCAGTCCTATCAAATTTCAAATGAAAGGAGGAGACATCTTACCGGCTCACAGGTTGTCGATTCCAGTGAAACTAAAGGTGTTTCAATCGCCTCCAAAAGGAACGACAAGCAACAGTCCAGTGATGGCGGAATACCAACAGAAAGCGCGCTAATAAATTCCCATCCAGCGGCGCGCAAGTGACCCTTTCTCCCTCAAGAATATATCTTTTTTTGTTTATTCGTTATTTATATCTCAGGCTGTCGGCTGCCCATTGGTCTCTTCACGCAAGAATGAGTCACAGCCTTGCGTCCCTCTGACGACTAATGAAGCTTCCCTGAGTGCCTGTGACAGCCATAATCCACTTGAAGAAGCCTAAAAAGCAAAAAGGAAAAGCACAAGTGACGTATGTGTGGGTGTGTGTGTGTCTCCAGGTGTGGGTGGTTGTCACATGATGGTAAAAAGACATTTGCAATTGACCTTGAGATGACAAACACACTTGGGTTTAAGATACAATACAATGGAAATCAGATTTAATAGGCTTCTTATAAAAAGCACCCAGAGAGAGCCATGAGCCATCCATCCACTGTAATACTTACTTCATGAGATGACAGCCCTGCATGCGTCATTATTTTTGACCTGCACCTTACACTTTTTATAACCTTGACATGGACAATAACACTGAGACATCAAAGTGAATCCTGCCTGTGTCCTGGCACTGAATGGGCAGCCATTATGTTCATTCACTCACTGCAAATTCCACAGGCTTTATCAGATGGCGCTCACACTTTCTCTTTTCACGAGTCATGCGTGGAGACCGCTCATAAAGATACGCCCTGACATGTGATAATAACTCAGAACATACCTTTTGATAGCACGCTATAGGATGCTGATGAGTGCGGAGAATTATAAAAAATATGCTTTATTGTCAGCATCCTCATCCAAATAAATGCCTTCACTGCAGGCACGTGCAAAGATATTTTGATGGGCTGATTTTAGGTGTCACACAAGAGCAAAAACTACAAATCAATAAAGAAAAGTGTATGAGATAATACAAATCTGCACACTTATCATGGTCAAGCAGATGTCCAAAGTAGTCCAAAATGTACAGTTAACTCAAATCTGTATAAATGTTATTGATAATTACTAAATGAACAGTAAATATGCAATCTCTGAGACAGAACACCTATTCCTATACCTTGTGTCTGTCCACATTAAGCATTTTTCTCCCTGCATGTGATGTATGATATATAAACCAATATCGCACAATGTGATTGCAAGCTGTGCTGCATTGTTTGGGAGCAAATGTGAAGGTGTTTATTCACAGGGCACTGCACTCGTTATTTTATGTTAATCATTCCCACAAATTATAAATACTCACCTGGAGCCTTCAAAGACAAAAATACCCAATTTCTGCTACAGTGTGACATGAGGTGAGGCATATGGCTTCATTTCTTTTTTTGGGTCACCCTATATGTGTTGCACACTTATCAATAAGTTAGAAAAGTTTGGATTGTGTGATGATTACATTTGCTTTAACTTTAGCTATCATGGGCTACTCATGCAACCACAACATCTAAATAAAACCATTATTTGTTTAGCAGCGAACCAAAGAGGGTCAGTGTACTGGAGCCTGGACTTGTGCACGCCCCTTCTTTTCAAGGACTGTTAATGCCTATAGTTAAAATGTAGACTTGTTAAAATAAATTAACTATACTTTTATATGAGAATATAGAGAATTCTGTGTTTTCCTGAAGAGACATTTGTAATGTAATGTTCAGCTTTTGCAAGATTATAGGTTGTCCACTTTAAATATTTTATTTGCAGTTAAAATGTGAAAATACAAACCTAATAGTCACAACTTTTACAAAATGCACAAAGAAAAGGTTGCTTGGATTTAAATATATACAATTGTCCAGAAGCAACAAGACAGTGACTCACATTCAGTTGTATTGGTACAATGACTAAGGATGAATGTGAGAAGGAGGACAAGATTTGTGTCTGTTTACTTGCTTTTCTTCAGGCTCATCATCATCTGATGATGAGCCTGAGCTTGGAGATGTTTCCTCAGGTTCATTATCCCCGTCAGCATCTTCCTTCTCAGTGCCCTGCCCTGTCTCTTGCTCTGATAGAAAAAGGCATGACAAAAGCTCATGGTGTGATTTTGAATATGCTTTGTAGGTTTTTGTACAAAAATATTTTAAAAAAAACCTTACCCTGTGACAGCTTCTTCTGGATCAGCGGGAGAAACTCAGAGGCCTCAGGATTGTCTGGTTCATAGATTAGAACTGAAACATGGAATGAAAGAAGAGGCAGCGTTGGCTAACATCACCGGTGGCTGATTTATTGACTGAAAGACTTCAGTGGATGGATGCAGGATACTTACTCATCCGACACAGTTTGCTGGCCAGCTGCAAGTCTCTGTCCATCACAGCTCTGAGGAACTGAAATCAACCTTTTAGCTTGAGTCTCAATCTCACTTAATTATAACAAAGTTGACGCAAAACATAATTTGCTAAAACAAATGATAAAATGATTTTTGATCAGAATCAGAATGCTTGTGTTTATATAAACAGGAGAAGTTGTATTGAGAGTGTCCAATGAAATAAAAAATAATAAAATAAAATAGAATTAAAATATCTTTAGAAACATTCAAACATGTTGCATAGAATGTCCAAAATACAATAATGTTTAATACAAGAAGTTTAAGTAACGTGTATTCCAATATATACAGTTGTGTGATAGTATTCAAATAAATATTAAAAATATGGATGCCGAATTGCACAGTTTAAGAGGGTTTTGTTGCGGATGGTCCTAGTGTCAGTCTACTGAGGCATCTGAAATGAAACAGCCCATCCTCTCATCGGTGCATGAAGTGTGTGGAGTCATTGATGGACATCAGTCACTTTACCTTCATCATCAGTTCCAATGGTGCCTTAATGTCTTCATCCTTTACCTCCTCTTCCTCGCACTGTGCTTCCACCATATTTGGCTCATGTGTGGGAAGAGGAACTGTACCTAAGTCTGCATGGCACTTCTTCAAGTCTTTCATTTGCAGATCTTTTCCAGGCACTGCATTGGCCTGTGTGTGTTTTTGAACCCTGAAATCATAATCGTTTGTTTATCAATACCCACCTCTTGTCACATTGAATGTTAAAAAAACGTTATATATTTTTGACGTTCTCCACACAGTACAAGACAAAAAAAATGAAGAAACTTTTTTTGAATGGAAGTAAATGGGGCCTTGTTTCACAACAGCTAACCTTTATCATAACTATTTACATCTTGAGCAGGATAATCCAAGTTTCATTTATCCAGCTGTATGCTGACTACTTCCCAACATGCATTTTCCCCAAAACGTTGCTATTTATTTAACAAAAGCTGAAGCATTCCGTTACTGTAATAAATGACTACGTTATTATAGCATGTTCATTTACAAGCGTAGCCAGTTAAGTGCTAGCCATCTTAAGGTAGCATGTAGCTAACATCATTATATGTAACCATTATTTATTAACTGTACTGTTAATTAACGTTCACATATGTAATGTCTGTAAGCCAGTTGCTCACCTGCTCATTGAGGACGATACCTCGACTGCAACTCAATAGACCTATTCTTTAAATTGTGAAACGTTCATGTGAAGTTAATTAAGGGTTCTTCATGTTATGGCTAACCTAGCTAGCTAAGTTATTTTAAGGAGGACAGACGCAACAGCGTAGCAAACAGTCGTTACCATAGTAATAGAGCTACTCAGAGTCAGTGCTGCCTTCATGGCTGCCGGAAATCTGTCAATTCTAAAGAAATATGCAGACTACAAATAAATATTGTCGTGCCATGACTTTTGGAGACTGAAGAAGCAGTTGTGCACCACTGTACGTAGTTGTTTTAAAAAAATCTATTTTAAATAGATAATTATGCGCTTCTTTTTATTGTATTGGTTGTTGCACTTTAAATAAACCCATTATTATCAGGTGTTTTAGAAATATGTATAAAATGTTACTGTAGTCTTCATTACATATATTTTTGGGCTAAAACATCACTATGCTACTACTTATTATTCTGCTGTATATATTTATAGGCCTACACCAGAAGTGCAAAGCTGTTTGATTTGTGGAATTTTTTGACTAAAAACCTCACCAAAAATACATTTGAATGCAAATTAAGTCAAATGTACACTATCTAAGCCTCAGAAAAGATATATCTTGAAGGCTTTTCCCCCTTGCAAATCTTACACAGCCTAGCTGTCTCTGACCACCCTCCATGTGAGCCATTTGTCATCCAATAAGTAGCTGTAACTGCTACATTAGCTGCCCATGCATCGAAAAAAGCTGCCCTCAGTCTTGAATCTGTGTGTGTGTGTGTGTGTGTGTGTGTGTGTGTGTGTGTGTGTGTGTGTGTGTGTGTGTGTGTGTGTGTGTGTTGTGAGGATGGAGCTGGAGGTATTATGTGTGTGGTTAAAAGATTCAGGTCACGTCAGCACTTGGCTGTATACTGTTTCACGGTTGTTTTATAATTTCAGGAAGATACAAACTGTCATATTGACAGGCTGAAGACTTCCCACAGAGACTAAATTAGCACATGACTGACAGGCTTGCTCATTTTGTGCCAGAGTTTAGAGCAGTGTTTAGAGAAAGGTGAGGTTAGTTTGGACAGGATGTGCATGCATTCTTTTCAACTCCTACTCCATCACACACACACACACACACACACACACACACACACACACACACACACACACACACACACACACACACACACACACACACACACACACACACACACACACACCAATTAGGCAGAGCAGTGAAGTTGCTCGGACTGAGCTCTCCCTTGGGTTCCCTCTCATGCACAGCGACATGCCACTGAACCATGTGCGTGTGTTTATAAGTGAGTGTGTAAATGCTTCTGTTTAGGCTGTGTGTGTTCTAGAGTGCAGAGGAGGGAATAAGTAGCATTTCATGTGCTTTGTCAATGCATTAGTGGAAGAAACTCAGCAAAGAAATGGGCAACAACACATCCACTAGTCACAGTCTATTTCTCATAGAATGTTGTGGAATTCTTAATCATTTAGATTCGATTTTTAAAAGGTCAAGGATTCATTCAGACTTGTCGATTTTGCTTCATCAGGACTCTCTGTGGTGTGTTTTGATTGAATTAGATCTACAAAGCAGGCTACATAAGCAAACGACCCAACAAATCAAAGAATGTTCGAGAAAACAGGTTTACAGGGATTTAAACATGCCAAATGATGCTCATTTTCAGGTTTCATGATTGTATTTTGTTCCTCTACTCTGAGATGTTTACATGCTTTAAT